CACTGCAGCTTGCAAACTGATTGCATGACCAGAAGGGAAATTGTATGCTTGCTTCGTAACTGCGTTGTACTTAGCTTTTGTCCCAAAACCCAGGAGCCTCTCAGCATCATTCCTGACCAATGGCTCCCGCAGTTATCCTCACGCACAGGCATAGCCTTTTGCCAGCATCCCACACACCCCGACCACGCAAAGGCACAGAGCAGCCTCTTCACCTACCCTTTCCCTCCCACTTATTGATGACCGAGCTCCTGCTGCTGTAGAAGGGCAGCAAATTGGCCCCTGTCTGGTCTTCCTTGATAAATATTCATGTGCATAATGCTCCCGACACTGATCTCATTTACACTTCAGCCTTTTTGTTCTCCCAGAGCTGTGGAAAGGGGTCTTGCGTAAATGAGAAGCTGGTGCATTGACGGTGGGGCTGGTTTTGTTTTGCTTGGCTTTGTTTAATAAAACAGTCTAAAAGGATGGAATCTGTTTGCTCCCATCTTCTTTGCCTGGTGCATGATCCTGATGCTTCACGGCTTGGCAGCCTGCCGGCGAGCAGAGCATGGGGAGCAGCACCAGTCTCTTTGTGCGAGCTGCTAATCGCCCTGGGCATGGCCTCGCAAGGACGCGAGTTGAACAGCTCCCTCTCTATTAGCGAGTTCAATTTTCTGCCTCCATCACTAACAATGTGCCCCTGCAAGTCCGTGCTGAGGAGCAGTTTGATTAGAGAAGAGGACTGAGGTAGGCAAACAGCCTGGCGCAATCTTTTTAAACACTGCTGCCCTATGAGTGCTTAAGCTCTTAAGCCTGGCTGATTACCGTATGCAGGATGGATAAAGCTGTATTTTATGACTCCTTTGGGAGGGACAGAGACTGCTCGCTATGTGAGAAGAGGGTTTGCAGAGCTATTTGCAAAAGCAGATGCAGAAACCCGCCTGCCTTTGTACTGCACCAAGGCTGCCGGGTTTTTTCACTGCCTGAGGGGGCGGAGGTGCTGCTGCACTGCTGCTCTCCTCTGGACCTGGCCATTTGCACGGCCAGAACAACACACACCATTGGTTTTCCTACCTTCTGCAGGAATTTTAGATGTGAAATATTAGTAATATTTATTTCATGATGATTAGCTAATAAATGTTCTTACTGGTTAGAATAGGTAATTCAAAAAATATAATCTAACCTCCTTGCCTGTAAGTGCTGAGACACCTTATTCCCAGGCACAGCACTTATGTCCCTTCCCTCCTCTCCTTCTCGAACGACTGTAACACACCCAAACTCTGCTTCACAGCATGCCTCTCTGCCACCCTCTCTTTATAGCTCACCAGCAGCTGCTGGTCCTTCGTGGTGACGCACCACCCCTCTGCCCCATGGGGTCAGCCCACCAAGGGATGGCTGCACCTCAGGAGGAGAGGCGTCTCTCAGGCCACTCTGTTGACTCAGAGGTTGGCTTCTATGCAGCTGTATTTAGGTAGGATCAGGTCATCTTCTGAGGGAATTAAGGCCCATCTTTTGCTGTAATCATTTCTTTTGCAATAATATCTCCTACTTACTTCCTCAAAGCCTTTCTGATAACAGAAGAGATGAAAATGTAAGCAAAAATCTATTTTCCATCTATCTATAAATGGAAATGATGATAGTATCAGACAAACAGGTGATACACAATTCAATCAGTATGTAAATTCTCTGTGAACGTCATGCTGTGTTTTCCATGTTACAGGCAAGCCTCGTGGTTGCATTTGCCTTCCCACTTCTTCTACTAAAGGAAGGCAACATCAGTGTTGTCTGGGTTTTCCCCACTGTGTTGGACAACTCCAGTTTCTGGTTTTGGCAGTAAAACCCTGATCTGGGCGATGCAGTTACCAGCACTTTGCACACCAGGCACTCAGAAAGCCGCAAACACAGGCTCATTGCCGGGGGTTGGACTAGGCGACCTTTAAAGAGCCCTTCCAACCCAAATCCTTGTGATTCTATAGATCCACATGCAGAAATACATATGCTGCTGTAAAAGATGTACAGGAGCATACTGAGGTCACATGCACATGAACTCACCAGGACCTACTGAGCTGCATTGGACGTGGGGCCATGACTGATGGCAGAAGTGGCAGTGCCCTCAGGCTTCAGTTCAAGGCTGACTTGCAAGCTCCAGGGGTCAGCACCCGCTTTCCGTGTGGAGCACAGCATGGCAGCTCCTGGCCTGGAGTGGGGTCTGTATGTGAACAGCTATCACTTTCTTGATATTAGTACCGACCCTGATAATTGTCCTGTTCCCCAGGCTCTGGGCTCTGCTCTGCCAGCAGTGCCCCGTCTCCTTGCGATGGCGTGCCACCACCATGCCGCATGGCTCTTTGTGCATTGAAATCCCGGGTATGCAAATAAACATATTGTCTGTGTGTTTACACAGTGTGTTTACTTATATCTGTGTGTGTGTATATATATATAAAATATATACACACATATAGTAGGTGCTGAGTCATGTGAATGCTAGCAGCTTTTCAGGGAAGGCAGGGAAACGGGTTGCGCAGGCACCAGCCCTCTCACAGCTTGCAAGCTGTGTTTATCAGAGACTGCAGAGACTGCTGGAAGCTGGGATATCGCAGGATGCTTTTGATCTGCTGACAGAGGCCTGGAGTACATGCGATATTCCTGCCACAGTCATTGCACCTGCTTCCGTACAGCACTACAACCCTCTAGTGGAAAATCAGCCCCATCAGCACACCGGTGCTTCTGGCCATGGGATGAGCCATTCCTTTCAGGTTTGAAGCCTGACCACGATGCAATGGCACCCACATTTCTGAACAGAAGTGTTGTTGCTATTGGATGCTATTTTTTATTATTCTAGCCCTGGTCCTGAAGCAGGATCCCCCTCCTACCTATCACAAAGCAAGCAGTCCTGTTTAGCACAGGGTCTGAGCAAACAGGTAACATCCAAGTGAGATAAGAAATCTGCATGCACCACTCACGAGGGTTTCCTACAGTATTTCACAGATTCCCAGAACTTACAAAATCATCCTGTACAGTATCAGCTCTGAGTCACGTCCATCCCAAGTCAAGTTTCCAAATGAGTCTCTGAGGACCTTGGAGCCCATGACACCCCTTCAGAGTACCCGGGGACTCCTCTCAAGGTGGTTCAGCACCTCGAGGCATAAGGATGGAGAAGCAGCCTCTGCACCACTGACCGGCTGCAGCAGAGAAAGAGCTGCTTTTAGCACCACTGTTGTGAATGCCAGAAAAACACATCCCATGGAGAGGAACAGCTCACACTGATCCCCAGCCTCTGTCCCTCGCTGTACCTGCCCTGGCAGAGGGACACTGTGGGCAGGGGGTCATCAGCACTGCCACATCCATCCCGCCTGCCAGAGCACCTCGCTGTCTCCTGGCAGAATGCAGAGACACAAAAGCTGGCAAAAGCGAGATTCCTGCCCCAAAGGACAAACAGTCTCCACAGCAAGCTGTTTTTCCCCTTTAGAGGAGAAATAAATAACTTCAGTTTCAGCTGCAAGGATCCTCACACTGCAAGATGATTTCATCAGACAGATGAGCTCCCAGAGCTTCGTGCTGGCTGCCCACTGAGCTGCTTGGATGCCGTCCACTAGGCACTTCCCACTTGTCCCTGGTGGAAGGGGACCGGACACCAGCAGGCCCACTGTGACATGAGGCATGGAGAGTGAACAAAGTGTGTTTTCCACCTAAAAAATAAAGGTGTGATGGCGTTGCAGTAGAGTTAAACTCGCAGTTATGGCAGTGCTGTTTCTGCCACATGGGAATTGGCAGGGACAGTCTGCATGCTGTGACCCCTTGCAAGGCCAGGGGATGTTTTGGGAGGCTCAGGAGACAGGCTGCTGCCCACTACACTGCTATTTGCCACCACTCCTACAAGCATATGGCTGATTTATTGTTCCTGTGTTTTCCCAAGAGAGTGCCACCACCGCCTTTATCCTCAAACAAAAGTTTTCAGTGCTTTTGGCACAGCACTTCAGAGTGGGACAGTCTGACCCAGCGAGAGACCCCTCAGTGCTCTGGGATTAAGCAGAGCAGCACATCTCTTTGCCAGCTGCTTCATACTTCTCCAGTCATTTGTGCTGCAGCAAAGGAATTTCTTTTGGCAAGGCAGCACCATCTCGTCCACTGCCCCCAGCAGATGGGAGGGGACAGGGCATGTCCCCACCAGCAGCCACGGGGCAGCAGTCCCACTGGCTGCTGTTCCCCTGTGCTATCTCCCATCCATGGGGACCATTACCCTTGCTGATAGGCAGATGCTGGTGGACAGATTTACCTCCTTCTCTCCAGCTAGACAGCTCAATCATAAACAAAAGCAGGCTGTCATTCATCAAATTTTAAATCACAGCTCTGTCCTGACCTATGTTTAACAGCACTGTGGTTTCTTGCAGCATATCTCGCTCCATGTTCCTTCAGCAGAGGCAGTGCTGAGGAGCAGAAAATAACAGTTTTCATGGCAGTGCTGACCTCATTCGCCAAATCCTGTGTGCTTCCCAAGCATCCCCTTCAGTGCCAGCCCCACTTGTTCATCCTTTTCCAAGTCTGTTGTCCTCTCCACCTCCTCCTGTCTGGTTAATGCGCCTGTTGGTGGAGCCACCTGGTGAGCCAATGCAGGGAGCTGATCTGGCTGGAAACAACCTTTTTTTTTCCTTCCCCCTTTATTGGCTTGTTTCTAACCCATCTCAGCTCCCTGATCCCCATTGCTGCAGGTGGAGACCCCAACAAAAATACTTGCAGAGCTTGAGGGGTTTCCCT